CCTCGGCCTCCCAGAGTGCTAGGATTACAGGCGTGAGCCACCGCGTCCGGCCTTTACCTAGCTTCTTAAGGTAGAAACTTAGATGATTAATTTTAAACTTTTCTTCTTCTCTTATATAAATATTTATAGCTATAAATTTCCCTCTAAGATAGGCTGTGCCTCAAGTCTGCACATTTTGATGTGTTATTGATTTCTAACCTAATTCCGTCCTTGTCAAAGAACACGTTCTGTATTATTTCAATCTTTTGGTATTTGTTTTATGCCACCTCATATGATTCTGTCCAGATGGACTTGCCATGTGCAATTATGTAACCATTCTAGCTTTCACATGCTTATGATTAATATTTGCATGGTATATCTTTTGATGTGAACCTATTTGTATCTAGACTGCATCTTTGGCTGGGCATTGTGGCTCACGCCTGTAATCCTAGCACTTTGGGAGGCCAAAGCAGGATTGCTTGAAGCCAGGAGTTCAAGAACAGCCTGAGCAACATAATGAAACCCCATCTCTACCAAATAAACAAACAAACAAACAGCATTTCTTCTAGATAGCATATAGTTGGGTTTTGCTCTTTTATCCAATCTGACAATCTGATTTATTAGACTGGTGCATTTACATTTAGTGTAATTTTTGGCCATAATTAGGACTACCATTTTGCTATTTATTTTCTATTTGTCTCAGTTGTTTTTTGTTTCTCTGTTCTTCTTTTCTTGCCTTCTTTTGTGTTTATCAAATATTTTTAGTATTCAACTGTTCTATGACTTATTAGATATAAATCTTTGCCTTATTGTTTTTCATGGTAGCTCTAGGGATTAAAATATACATCTTCACCTTATTGCAATTTACTTAGAGATGATATTGTACTACTTCATGTGAAGTGCAGGACCTTTGCAATAGTATAGTTCATTTATACCCACCCTCATCTTTTGTGCTACTATACACACACACACATATACACACACAATAAATGCCACAATATAATGTTATACAATTTACTTTGAAATGCCCATAACTTTTAAAGCAATTAAAGGGGAAAAAGAATATTTTATATAGTCTTTTATATCTAGGAACATATTTGTCATTTCTGATTCTCTTGATTCCTTCTGAATAACTTTATTTAGATTTCTTGTCATGTAGATCTCCTGAAAGTGAATGTTCTCTGTTCTTCATTTCACCTTTTTTTTGAAGGTTACTTTTGCTAGATATAGTATTTGGGGATGACATTTCTTTTTCTTTCAGCACTTCCCAAGAAGTCTTCTGTCCTCTGCTGTTTCTGAGAGTCAGGTATCATTCATGCTGTTATTCACTTGGATGTGATGTGTTTTTCTTTGGCTACTTACAATATTTTCTCTTTTTCTTTGGATTTTATAGTTTGACAATTACGTGCTTTGGTATGGTTTTATTTGCATTTTTCCTGCTTAGAGTTTGCTGATCTTCTTGGTAGGGTAGGCTAAAATTTTTTCTCACATTTCAGAAATTTTTAGTTGTTATTTTTTCAGATATCTTTATTCTGTCCTTTTTCTCTCTCTTCTTTTTTGGGGATCAATTACACTCATGCTAGACAGCTTCATGTTGTCCTACAAGGCTCTGATGCTCTGCTCATTTTTTCTCAATCTTTTCTCTCTGTTCTTCAGATTGAATAATTTCTATTACTTTTTCTTCAAATTCACTGATAATGTCTTCTGTTTTCCTCAATCTGGTGCTGAGCCCATCTAATGATGTTTACATTTTAGTAATTATATTTTTCAACTCAAGCATTTCCATTGGATTCTTTTTTATAGTTTCCACTTCTCTGCTGAGTTTTCCCGTATGTTCACATCCAAATTTTCCTTTAGGCCCTTGAACATATTTATAATACTTTTAAGTTCTTGTCTGCTAATTGTAAGATCTAGACCATTTTGGAGACAGTTTCTATTGAGTGCTTTTTGTCTTCAGTATGAATTACATTTTTTTCACATCTGCTTAGTTTTTATTGCGTATTGGACTTTATAAATAATACATTGTAGACAGTCTGCATTCTGTTATGTTTCTCAGAAGAGCGCTGAATTTTATTCCAGTAGGCAGTTAACTTGGCTGGGCTGAAATACCAAACTCCATTTCCAATGTGCAGCATCAAGATTCTCTGCTGAGTTCTTTCAGCTTTCTGTTGTTGTGTTTTTGCCAAGCCAACTGAGGTCTCCCTTGTACATGCATAGCTCTAGTAGTCGGCCAAGGATTTGGGCAGAAAACACGTGCAGGTTTTGGAATTAATTCCCTTCTTCTATGGCTCCCTCCTTTACATATCTCCCCCCAACTTTCTAGCTGCTCTTTGAGCTTTAAACTTTATCCCCTGATATTTCAATCCAATGAAGCTCAGATTTTTTGATGCCCTAAGCAGCACAGAAATTAGGGAGTGACTTCAGTCAAACAGCTGTACTCTTAAAGCTTTCTCCTTATTGCTGCCATTTTTGTTTTGTTTTTTTTTTTGCTGCCATCTTTTGAGATTAGATTCCTTGCCAGTTTCGATATGCTTTTGGTTACTCTCCAGTGCTTTCAAATTGTTGTTTATTTTTCAAAAATTTTTCTTTCAATTTTTTAAATTGTTATCTGCAGAGAGTTAGTCTGATCAAGTGAGTCCACCATTTACGCAACAGTATTAATTTTTAAAGTTATACTTTAGAACCTACTATATGCCAAATGCTATGCAAAATGATGCCTATACATAAAAACATAAAAAACTATTCCCATTCCAAGGATATCATCTTGCTTACTTGACCTGATAAACATATTTTATACAAATGAGTAATATATACATAGTTATAATTATATGTAAATAAATGAAAATAGACAGTTCTCTTACTTTTCTACTGCAGATCGTTTCTGTGATTTGCTTTTGTAATTTAATGCCATCTTAGTTTCCATTCCAGTGTAAACAGCAACACCTGCAAAACAAAACTATCATTTAAAATAATCCTCTAGCATGTTTCACAAGAAATAAATACACTCACTAGCATGAAAACTTCTAAGAAAGTATATTGTATCATAGTTACAATTTTGCCTTCCTTTAAGTCTTTTCATTGTTTTAAGGGCTTTATAAGTCCAATTTTGGGGAAGCCCAGTTACTCAACCTGCTGAATGAGATAAAGATGGCAGGGAAGGCCATTATAGATATAGCAAACACTGCTAATAAAGACAGAAATGGAAAAGTACTTTTTGTTAGGGTGGAACAAAGGATTGGGGCCAGAATGTCAAAGGCCCTGCATGCCAGGATCTGGAGTCTAAACACCATTCCATAAGCACTGGAGAGACAATATGGAAGTTTGTCGCAGTAAATCGAGTAAACACAAGGGAAGTGCTATTTAAAAAATTTGTTCCCATGTGAACAACTCTGAGATGAGCAGAAAGACAGGGGAAATGGGACTAACACTGGGGTATGAATGAAATTAGGAGACTAGCCTGATATTAATAAAAAAGTTTGTAGACTTTGGTTTGAATACTAGCTCTGCCACTTACTGGTTCTATATCTCTGAGTAAGTAATTTGTCTGAGTCTCAATTTTCCCATCTTTAAATGGGAAAAAATACTTCAAAGTTGTGAGATCTATATGAAAAATTAGCAAAATGCCTTGAAACAAATGATCAATAAATGTTCATTCCCATCCCTGAATACTGAGATTTAAAAACCAGTGTAGGGCCCATCATGCCCTCTTCCTAAAGATTTGCCCATAATTCTTTTTTTTTTTTTTTTGAGACAGAGTCTCGCTTTGTTGCCTGGGCTAGAGTGAGTGCCGTGGCGTCAGCCTAGCTCACAGCAACCTCAAACTCCTGGGCTCAAGCCCGAGCAGCTGGGACTACAGGCATGCGCCACCATGCCCGGCTAATTTTTTCTATATATTTTTAGTTGTCTGATTAATTTCTTTGTATTTTTAGTAGAGACGGGGTCTCGCTCTTGCTCAGGCTGGTCTCGAACTCCTGAGCTCAAGCAATCCGCCCACCTCGGCCTCCCAGAGAGCTAGGATTACAGGCGTGAGCCACCGCGCCTGGCCTGCCCATAATTCTTATCATTAGAATTATTCCCGAAAGGCAGGGGTTATAACTCAAATGACAAAGGGCATTGAAATTACAGGAATGTGAGAAAACATCCGGAATAATACAACAGGGGAGAGTTGGTGCTGAGGAAAACAATAGAAGACAGACCCATCTAAAGGCATTCAATTACATGTTTTCTTTCAAGAGGGTACAAAATTTGGATACCTCCTTTAAGGTAAACAAGAGTGAAGGTATTAATGCTAGGAAGATGTGTTAAAATATGGCATTATATGAGGTCTAAAAGTCCTGAAGGTTTACTCTGGCTTCTACCATTAAAAAACATTATTATGGATTAATTTTTTTTAATTGTGATAAGATACACATAACATGCAATTGGCCATTTTTTTTCTTTTATTATAATTGGTGGGGTGAAGCGGCTGGCCCGGCCAGCCCGCGTAATTTACCATTTTAACCAGTGGCACTTAATACATTCATAAATTTGTGTAGCCATCCTACTAAGTAGAGAACACTTTCATTATATCCGAAGAAAACTGCGTATCCATTAAGCAATCATTCCCCATTCTCCTCCACTCCTGACCTCTGAGAACCACTAATCTGCTTTCTGTCCCTATGAATTTGCCTGGATATTTCAAATAAATGGAATCATATAATATATGACCTTTTGTGCCTGGTTTGTTTTACTCAATATAATATTTTTAAGGTTCATCCATGTTGTAGCATGTATTAGTACTTCATTCCTTTTTTTGGCTGAGTAATATTTCATTATATACCACATTTTGTTTATCCATTCATTAGGTGATGAACATTTGGGCTGTTTCCAACCTTTGGCTACTGTAAACAGTGCTTCTATGAACATTTTTGTACAAGCTTTTGTTTGAACACCCATTTTCTGTTCTTTTGGGTATATATCTAGAGTAGGATTTCTGAGTCATGTGGTAATTGTATGTTTCACTTATTAAAGAACTGCCAAACTATTTTTCCCAGCATCTGCAACATTTTACACTCCCATCAGCAGTGTACAAGGGTTTCCATTTTTCCATACCCTCACTGACACTTGTTATTTTCTTTCTTTTTACATATATATATATACACACACATACATATATGGATTTCTTTATTAGAGAGCCTAAAACTGAGAGAGGTAATAGAAAAAAAAGATAATGAAAAAGAGGACCTCAAAAGCTGTAGACAGCCACTGGGTAACAGGGTGGGCCAGGATACTAAGGGCCATTCCTAAAATGAGAGGAGCTAGTTGACAGCTAAAGGTTATCATCAACTTCACAATTTGCCTAGAGTTGATTCAGAGTATATTAAATTAATTTAGATCTCCAAAGGCAAGGGCAGTATTTATTCATCCTTTTGATCCAGTCAGTATATGTTCCAATATACTTGGTATACAACCAGTAGTCAATAACAATTTGTTGAATGAGTGAATGTATGAATGAATAAGTCAGCAGTTATGAATCTAATCTAAGAATAATCATAATGGAATTATATAAGTGGTCTACTGCACCATGATGCCAGATTATATTGGTTCTCATCCACCTCCACCATTACCAGAAATGTCAGAATTATGTTATTAGGACTCAGTTTCACAAGTATTCACAGAAAGACAATATAAGAACAGGGTTCTAGTCTATTACTCAAAAACAGGGACCAACAAGAAAAAAACAACACAAAATTATATTAATATAATCTTTATACAAAAATTATCATAAAACATTTAGTTAAAAAATTTCCAATCAAAAGACCACAAATATTATGCTTTTTAAAATACTTCATATAAAGCACCAACACAAATCAATAATTTAAAATGTTTAAACATGTACAAACCAAAAATTTCTTTTGTGTTTTTTAATCTGGCTCCACGAAGCAAGAGACTCTCTGGCCCCAGAGGTCTAGGAAAAAAAGAAAACAACCCAAAAACATTGAATATATTAAAAATTCAATTCAATTCTAAAATGGCATCTTCAGCAGGAGGTACTTAAGCTATAGCTACAATGCTGCTTTCATAGAAAACCAAAATTCCAGCAGTATAAAGCTGCCTACACCAATCATGATGTTAGTTACTGTAACAAACACCTGCTTTAGTATTTCAGTCACTTTAAGATTAGCGGCTCGGAAAAAAGAATATGCATGTAAATAAACTCACAAAGCCACTAGTATCAAAAAATTTTAAACATAAAATTCAGCAAAATCAAAGATTAAGTACTGATTTTAAAATGTTTAGCAGAAGATGAAATTTAAAATTTTTTTAGCACATTTAATAGCTTCAAAGTGAAAATACAGAATTAAAATGCAACGCAAACATAAATTGTAGTATGATTTGTGTAAAAGCATGAGCTCAGCATAATTAAAATTATACTGGATTATAAAATATAATGTAGAAAGTATGTTAGTAAACTTTTTCTAGGCAAGATTGCACAGTATAACTTGACTACTTGCATTGTATATTTCTTGGAGCACAGGTCTTCTTGCTGTTTGAATTTCTCTCCATAAAGGAGATATAAAACGACAAGGAATAACTAGAAAGGAAATTGTATCTTCTTAGTGATAGCAAAATGATAAGAGTCTGCTATGGATAAGTTAAAAAGCCTTTTTTTTTTTTTTAATATTCTTTATGCTTTTCTGCAATATACATACAGTTATCTAAACCAAAGAGAATCTGAACTATTTATGAAGATATCTGCAAACCCAAATACCGTAAAAAAAAAAAAAAAAAAGCAATGAACCAAGGAGGACCAGATGTTTGAGACATAGTTAACAAGTATGATTCTACTAGGCCGTCATATTTGAAGTGCACTCCAAGGATATTCCAAAATCAATATATAAACCATTCACGAGCTATAAAATAGCTCTTTTCACTTGATGCTGCCTCTAACAATAAATAGAAACACTTTGTGCTCACATTGGCATATAAAATTGGTATATAATGACAGCTTCAGATTAAAAGATAACTCATCAAATGAACGAAGGGTCTTTGGAGAATCCAAAATGGATGCTCTCTGTGGGTTCAGGAGTTCAGTTGGTTTTGCTCAGAAAAGTACATTAATTAGCTTTTTTTTTTCTGATCTAGACAATTTATGCATGCATATGTAAATGTCTAGGTATTGACTCATAGTAAGCTTGTTATTGTGAAAATTAAAAATACTGTATCACATGTCCAATCATGTCTGGCAAAATGTATTATCTAAATAAGGGAGCTTCATATTGCAAAGTTAATCTTCAACCCCAGTCAGCTGTTTTGAAAGGTTTCTACTAGTATATTAGGTACCCAGACAGAATACAGAGTTTAAAATGCTGGCTACTTAAGGACTACGCTGACATATCCTCATCCAAGTATCTAAGGACAAAGACCCCCTAATGCCACCATCATCAACCTAGGGATCTTTGTCAGTACTGGGTCTAATAAGCCATTTTCTATATTGATTGAGATCCAGGGCCCCTCCATAGCTTCCACACAGAACCTCCTCCCTTTCTGCACTGCCATCCTCCAATCAGTGGGCGCCAGTTTAAGTGCAGGTCAAAGTTTTCAATGGTGTTCAGTGAAATGGGAATACACACAAACATAGATATGTATGTGCAGAAATTATATATACATGTGTGTATATATACACATATACTTTATATCTTATGTAAAATATGTATTTAATTATATATGATATACAATTAAATACATATGTATGTCGAGTAACCTTTAAACTGATATAATTTTTTTTTACATTTTAAAATTTTGTTTTTAAATGTCCTTTCTTTTATAAAATTGATTAGGATAGATGATAGTTGTGGCTGTGGTTTAGTTACTTTCCTAACTGGGCAAAATAAAAAGTAGGCAACCCTCCAAAAAACAAAAACAACAGCAAAAATAAATAAATAAATGAAAGATAATTCATCAATTCATTCAGGTTGCTTCAGTGAAGAACATGGTTCATTTTTAACCACCCTAGGGGTTGAGGTAACATAACTGCTATTTTCCTTGACTAGCCACAATATTTTAATGCAATTCAGTCTATGTATCCACACGTTTCCCACTATTTCACTATGGAAATCAAAATAAATTTAGTCAGTCACAGTTATTCAGCAGGGGTCCTACACATAAAAGATCTTGTTACAGAGTTTATTGAACATACTTCTATGTTAATGCTTATTAAAAATGTGGATCAGTGCTAATGCATGATATTTTTGTTGGCTTGTCTTAAGGATTTTATTGAAAAATGCTAAGCTCTTTGTTAGAGACTTATATCATACAGCCAGTATAAACTGACCATGTCCCAAGAAAATAGACAGAATGTCAAATTTGATTAGAAATTGAAGGACTGATTCTAAGATTGATTATAAATTAGGTTTACAGTAATGAATAACAGTGTAATCTCATCCTATCAGCAAATCTTTGCACTCATCCAAATTAAGGTACTGGAAATTAACCTGCAAATTGAGGGAAAATAAAATGAAACAACCAACCAAGCAATAAACTAATCAGAAGAGTAAGTAAGCAGTTTTGGATCAGCCATAAATACTTTAGTTTGTGCTGAATGATTCTGAAGTAAAGAAGACCATAGCACTTATACTTGTTAAATATTATATGAACCATTTTTCATATTCTAGCCTTTAAGTGTTGTGGGTTTAAATGCATAAGGATCTGAATTAAAAGCAGCTGCGTTTTATTTTATGTTACTACTGAATATTATTAGAAAATGAAATATAAAAATTCAAACAATCTTACTAAATTATTCTTAAATCATTTCATAGGATTTGTTTCATCCTTACTTGCTGCTGCTACAAATTACTAGCAGAGGAAATGCTAAATGCTTTTAAGTTAACCCATTTCCATGATTTGCTGTTTATTCACCTAATCTTCCTTTAACTTCTAGTCCTTTCCCGAAACAGTTCCCACTTAAAAGTAATTAGATAACATGAAGTTATTCTTACCTTACAATTTCTTCCATTTGGTGAGTTATTATCATTCGTCCCATGAATCTATTAAAGAATTCACCATAGTATAAATATATATATTATATTACTTACAACATCAATGGGTGGAACATTTTTGATAGTTTTAGCACTATTCTCATACATGAAACAAAACCAACCTTTTATATATACAAATGGTCCAATATTCATGGCAGAAATTATAAAAATAAATATTTAGTCCTTAAGCTTTAAAAAATCTAAAATTATTACCATCTCTATTCCAGCTATGAATGACGTAATAAATAAAAAATGTTTTCAAAATGGCAATGTAGATGTTATACATTATTACTATTATTATTAGTTTGGTTATCATGAGAATTTATAACTGCTAAACAAAGATGTATACATTATTTAGCCAACAATGAATGTTCATATATTTCATTACTGTTTACTAAATAAAGCTTCCTGTGACCTACAGATCATTGGAACCGAATCATTGATCTACTTATTCATTTATTCAACAAATATTCACTGAGCGACTGCCATGTATGAGTTAAGTGGCCTACCACTCAGAGTAGTAAGCAAAAACCTGTCAGTGAACTGCAGAGCTTCTTTAACCTGATAGTCATATTTAAACTTTTGGTTGCCTTAAATCTAGAGTGAAGGAAGAAAACCAAGAGAGGGAAGTATCCAGGAAGACAAGCGGGGCAGATATACAATACGATAAGAAGCTGAGGGTGATTTTTATAATGTGCTTGCAATTTATAGTCTGTCACCAGTTACTGAGTAGAAATGAACCTAGTTTCTCATGTAAGTCCTTAATAATAAAAAGCTGTTTCCATTACATAGCCTATAATTGGCAAGATCGCTGAAAGATGACTAGTATTGTATTTAGTAAACTGTAATGTTAAAAGAAGTTCGTTCCTCTGCTCCTTTCCCTCCTTTCAGAAACAAGATCTTTAAAAATCTAATAAACTAAAAAAAAATTTTAAATTTTGTGCTCACTGTGATAGGTGAAAAATGAATAAGAACAGTTTCTATTCCTGAGGAACTCATAGCTGTTAAGAATAATATTTATATAAAATTACATTTTTTTACTTTATTAAGTGCTATATGTAAGTGAAATATTGAAAGCTATATAAATTATAAGGTTCTAATTTAAAAGTAGTATCCTTTAAATAATACAGTAGTGCACACAAACATAGCCCCTGCCTTCATGGAGCTTACCAAAAAAATCATTAGATTATTTTCTTCTAAGGAAACAATATTACTTCTACTGCAACTACTGTTATAGCTACAAAGTGAGCATGCTAGTTCATGCCAAAATAGAAGGTAACATGAAGGAATTTGTGAACAAAAACACAGCTCTTGAATTAATATCTTTTGCTTAGACTTCTGACAAATGTTTTTAGTTTTTTTCCCCTTAATTGCATCCCCCTTCAACCTGCTCCACAAATAATGTCTCCAATTAGCTAAAGATTTCATTATATGTTTATGAGTTATAAAAAATGAGGTCTGTAAACAGGACTTAAAATGCATATATTGAACATCACATCATACCTGTACAAGTCTGCTTCTGGTTGCTGGCATTCTATCACAGCTACGAGAGTGTCCAAACTGGCCACAGTTTGTAATAATGCTGTTTCTGGAACTGCCACGTGTGTCTGAAAAAAATGAATTAAATTGCATAGTTTCAAGATCCAAATGGGACCTTAGATATCAACTACTTTAAATCTTTTATAGATAAAACCATGGCAAACTGTACTTAAGCTCATTCAGCTAGACAAAAAAACAGAGAAAGAAAAATGTAAAATAAACGAGGAGCAAAGGGAGTTACTATAACCACCCATCTAGGAAGGCCATTTGCATATAAGGAAATTAAGTCTGTGTGTATAGACACTATTGCCCAAAGTTTACTATAAGCAATTTAACAGGAAAAAATGTGAATATTCACCCTTGATTATACTGTGAAAACTGAGAAAATTGAAATTTGTCCCTTATTTTAAAAGGCACCAAAATATTAAAAGGTTGTATTTTTCCTAAAATTACTTTCCATTTTTAACTTGAATTGACTAAACTATGTGAGGCTACCCTTAAAATAAATATATAATCATATCAATTCTTTTTTAAAACTTTAATTTTTAAAAAAGTTTCAGTAATTTAAAATAATTTCTCCTTAATCAGGTCAAACTTTATTACATTAACCAGAGGAAAATATTACTATACCCAAAGATATTTTGTTTACCCATAGCAACACTCAAACATGCACGAACAAACCTTCAGGTTAGTTTCTCCATCCAAACTAGCAGTTGTAACATGACATGAACCATCAGGTCGATCTGAGGACAGAAGCACCAAATCTGCAGGAAAAATTTCATCTTTGGCTATCCGAACAATATCACCCACCTGTGAAGAATTTTGGGGAAAAGTGAATATACAGATTTTAAAAGGCAAGGACTTATTTTTATTGGGTACTAAATAAGTGGTCTATCATAGTATTTTAGTGTAGGAAAGCAGGTTTTTAACTAAACCATGATCAATATTAGAATTATGTGCTATGGTACCAAAATACAATTGATTTCTATTATACACCAGATGCATACCCGAATATTTTTTGATCTAGTTTTTACAAGGCCACCACTTCGAACAACATAAACAGGAGCTCCATTTACTTCGTTATCTGAGTTATGTCGTAACCAATCTTCATATCCCTGTAAATATCCAAAGAATAAACAATATCTTTTTAGTATAATTTGAAGAAACTTTTACCAGATGAGAAAAGAAAAAAAACGAAAGCATAAAAACTTGCCCAAAACATTTCACTTACCAGAATTATATTAGGCTATTTTGATGCATATGCTTATAGGTATTTGATATTCCTTCCTATTAGAAACACTCTCTTTTCTTGGTTTTCATTATACACATATTTCTGGCTTTCAAAGGACCTCTAGTTACTTCTCAATTTCTGTATGGGAGGCTCCTTCTATGTCACCTTTGTAGGCCCTTTTCTCATACTTCACTTTCTCACTAGGTTTCTTCTATCCCTGCATCTTCAAATAGTATAAATATGCTGGTAATTCTGAATTTATATCTCCAGACTACATCTCTCTTCTGGACTCCAAACTTGAATATCTAATCGCCTTGTTAATATCTCTATTTTGAAGTCTCATAAATATCTTAAACATATTCAAAACCGAATTGATGTTATCCCCAAAGTCCACTGCATTTCCAATGTCTCCCAGATTTTTGCTTTTGCCAGAAATCTGGAGAATCATTCTTCACTCTTACCTTTCTCTAACACTTGTTCAATCAGTAAATGCTATGTACAAATGATAGTTTAATCATAAAGTGTAAATTTACAAAGCATCATTACAGACAATAAATAGAAAAAAATGAAAAGATTTGAAACTGAGATTGAGTTCTTTTACCTTCTTAAACAATAGACCAACAGAATTATTTCTAATTAGTAAAGTTGACCCTTTAACAGCATGAGTTTGAACATACATGTGCAGGTCCACTTACATGCAGATTTTTTTTTTCAATTAAAGTTACACCGAGTGTGCCTGCCTCTCCTGCGTCCCCTTCCCCCTCCTCTACCTCTTCCTCCTCTGCCACCCGAGACAGCAAGACCAAGCCCTCTCCTTCCTCTACCTCCTCAGTCTACTCAACATGAAGAGGACAAGGATAAGGATGAAGACCTTTATGATGATACACTTCGACTTAATGAATACTAAACATATTTTTTCTTCCTTATGAGTTCCTTAACAATGTTTTCTTTTCTCTAGCTTACTTTATTGTTAAGAATACAGTATCCTGGCCGGGCACGGTGGCTCAAGCCTGTAATCCTAGCACTCTGGGAGGCAGAGGCGGGTGGATCCTTTGAGCTCAGGATTTCAAGACCAGCCTGAGCAAGAGCGAGACCCCGTCTCTACTAAAAATAGAAAGAAATTAATCAGACAACTAAAAATATATAGAAAAA